TTCGTCATTGTCAACTGTAAACCAAATAAAGCAGTTAATATTAAGGGACATTGAAATGAAATTTGGTACTGTGACAAAAACTATTTACCTGGTTCAGGGAGAGCTGGCACATCCTTCCACTGATCATGTAAAGTGTTGATATTGGGAATGAGATCGGAATCTGTGGCAAAAGAACAATGGTCAAGTACTTGAAAAGTCAAGCGTACTATTAAAACACGAAAGATCAAAATTACCTTTTTCAATGAAGTCAATTTTAAAAGATTTGTCCGCTAGTACCTGTCTGAACACTAGATAGGGGTTTTTGTTACCCAGCACATCAGACCTTACAATTTCTATGTCTTCCGGCATGAATGTGGACAGGTACTTTGACGGTAACTGCGTCTTCCACCTCTCCCCTTTTCCTCCCAAAACAAAGGCCAATTCCCCCTCGCCGTAGCTTACATGATTAGTGTGGATTAATTTGACAATCTTATAAGCCTTGTTCGGCTGTAAGCTTGAGGTGCTGATGTACCCGAAGTAACTAGCATTCCTTTCTAGTACCTTCTTGTATGGACTGGTCTGAAACCAAAATCCAAAATTTACAACATGCACATAATTTCAAGAAGTTGTTACAAGATTTCAGAAATCGGTCATATAATCATGTCAAACATTAATGTAAAAGTCAATATGCACAGAGCTTCCCAAAATAGGTCTGGCAACCTTCTAAGTTATGATACATTTATTCTGTTAAGGCAGGAAGCTGAAGCTGCCCTGTCATTTGTTCTTACTTTACAGATATGCCAAAAGTGAGATCAGTTATAACCAGGTTTCAGTTAAATATATTACCAAAGAACAAATGATGGGGTGGGTTGACTTCAACAGTTTCACTGAGACTAAATTCATCATTAGATTGATCATATTTAAAATGCTACTTTGGTATCAACCAACGTTTGTCAGTTAACGTTGGGGCTAGATTCAACTGTTAGTATCTAATTTCAACTTTTGCTCTAAACGAATTTACAACATTGACCACCGATACTGACATAGCCAAACCAAGGTTGGATCAGAACCCAAAAATAATAAAAATGATGTAACGAGCAAGGTGGATGAATATCCATCTTAATGAGTGGAGCGTGTTTTCCTCATCATGATACGTTAACCTCTAAAATCACGTGGCCAATGCGTTAAACAATTTCAACACTCAAACTTACCCTGTTATTGTTACGGTTTACGTTGCGATCAGCCATTTTAACAAGAACTATGATTTTACAGAAGACTGACAAGACTCACGCAAATGTCGACCGGTAACGAACAAATTTAGCACACAAATACGTCCACTGCAATAACTGACAGCAATATGACAGCACAAACTGAGAACTGCGATTATGGAATCAGGCTCCAGACGCCCCCTTTTCAAGGCCATGTATGGCCTGA